GAGAGCAAAGAATAAAGAAGGGAAAGATATGAAATAAATTATTTGAACTATAGAATCACCAAGAGTCAGATACAATTGAATGGATAACATCATCATCATAATCATCATCATATATATCCAGAGTTCATCATGCAAACCTCCTTATCTTTAGAGTTTAAAAAAGGTCGACAGATCAGTTTACTTGTAAAGAATGATACTGACAGTTTGCCCTTCCAAAGAGGGTCAAGAAATATGTGTGTGGTCAAATTGGATTACTCATTTCACATTTGAAATAATCCATTTCACCTCAGAGTTTAAAACAGCAAATTAAAATTTTAAAAGAGGTATGAGTAGATGGAGGGGGAAATACAGTACCTCAGCCAATTTAAATTCTACATCAGTTTAGCCACTCATTCATCTGATTAAGTGACCTGTAGCTCACAGATGCATATACCTTTTAATAAGATTTGTTAGAAAAGACACTACCATATTCCTTATGATTTTAGGCTCCTAAGTGGATTAAGAGAGACAGCTTGACTGTCAAGTGACTTACCTGAATTGATTTTGCAGTGAAGTCCATAATGGAAGCAAGGAACTTATAGTTCACTTGTTATGACACATTGGAAAAAGAGCTCCTGGCATTCAATAGAAAAGAGGGAGACTTGACAGCTCGTATTTATATCTCCAGGTTCTTTTTACCCGCTGTCCTTAAGTGACTTACCAGAATCAAAAAGATTAGTGCTGGAATATGTAATAAATAATTTCTTATTCCGCAGTTGACATCCTGGCTTATAGGTAAGGGCAATATAAGGAATTTTGGAGCCAATGCAACATCAGGTTTGGATCCCTCACATAGCTCTAGACTAATATTTCAGAATAATTCCTGGAAAATAAGATGTTTGAAACTATGTATTCATCATCATCATCATCGTCGTCATCATCAAGTTGGAAGGGACCTTGGAGGTCATCTAGTCCAACCCCCTGCTCAGGCAGGAAACTCTATACCATTTCGGACAAATGGCTGTCCAGTCTCTTCTTAAAAACTTCCAGTGTTGGAGCATTCACTGCTTCAGGAGGCAGGCTGTTCCACTGGTTAATTGTTCTAACTGTCAGGAAGTTTCTCCTTAGTTCTAGGTTGCTTCTCTCCTTGATTAGTTTCCATCCGTTGCTTCTTGTCCTGCTTTCAGGCACCTTGGAAAATAGCTTGACTCCCTCTTCTTTGTGGCAGCCCCTGAGATATCATGTCCTCCCTCATCCTTCTCTTCATTAAACTAGACATACCCAATTCCAGCAGCCTTTCCTTATATCCTTTAGCCTCCAGTCCCCTAATCATCTTTGTTGCTCTTCTCTGTACTCTTTCTAGAGTCTCAACATCTTTTTTACATCGTGGTGGCCAAAACTGGATGCAGTATTCCAAGTGTGGCCTTAACAAGGCATTGTAAAGTGGTATTAATACTTCAACGTGATCTTGATTCTATCCCTGTGAAAGAATGTCCGCTTTCTACAGCTATTTGATTTTCATGATAATTAAGAAGTGGTAGCATGGTGGTTAGAATGCAGTATTGCAGACTGACTCTGCTCACTGCCAAGAGTTTGATCCTGACCTGCTCAAGGTTGACTTAGACACTTGGTGGTACATTTTGAGTTTATGTTCCTATTGGCAGGGTATTAACTGATTTGACCTAGCTTATGCAAATGAGTTGCTAGATGTCTTCTTTTAAATTACATCTTGTAATTTTTAAAAAACTAAATTCAATAAAGCATGCAGTTTTTATAGTGCTATTGTAAACATACAATATTTACAAAACTATTTGATTCTATTCCTAGTGTCCTCAAATAATTATAAAAGGTAATTATAGTATTAGCAAGTGATGAAAATATCCTGTTCCAGAGTCGAATAAACTGCTCTAAAAAGGCCACAAATTCACTTGCTGTTATGCAGTTTCCTTTGAAGTGCCCAGTAAACTATTTCCTTTGAATACATATGCAAAGTTTTGATAGATTCCCCTGATTGACTCTGAAATGTCGAACAGTTGGGGAATTTAAATGTTACAGTGAACCAAAATGGTAAAGAATTCTAGCTTATTCATAAGTAAGGTTTCTCCTTTTTGGTTACTTCTGGATATCACCATCCATGATTTTATTTAAAATTACATGCAAATCTACAAGTCTGAATTTGTGCCAACTGTAACAGGCAAGGATAAAAAGGCCCAGAATAAACCATGGTTTTTGAATCTGCTTTGTTAAGTGTGAAGCAAGCAAGAGCTTTTGGTCTGTCATAAAGTTGAACAACTCTTAAATGTAGCTATTCATGCCTTCAGTTCAGTCAAATACATGCATAAGCTACCACTGTCCTCACCCAAGGTACAATTTAGAAATGCTTAGTCAGCTGCAGTGACCAGTGGTAATTAAGGCTGTTTTAAGAACCTCTGAAAACTGTGCAATTAAGTGTTATTCTAAACATTTAACACTCCTTGCTTCACACATTGCCATCGGCTCTGTTTTATTGTTTTCAAATGGAAGAATCTTAAGAAGGCTGGATAACCATGTATTGCATGTCATGGTGGTCCAGTGGTTAGGATGCCCATAGCCAAGGTTTATTCAACCTTCCATTTTTCCGAGGTCAGTAAAATTGTTGAGGGCAATATGCTGACATTTAAACTGCTCAGAGAGTACTGAAAAGCACTATGGAATGGTATATAAGTCTAAGTGCTATTGTTGTTGCTATTGTTATGGCTCTTACACTTGCATGGCTTCCATTTAAAAACAAGTAAGACAAGAACTGATTGTGAGGAACATGGTTTGAGCAGCTTGTTATGCTGAATGGTGAGCAGCTGCGTGCTATTTTTCTTTAATTACCAATATGGGCTAATTAAATCTCATAGCTGTGCTAGTATATTTGGGTGTATAGATATAAGGATGATTTCATCCCAGTAACAGTAAGGAATAAACCTCCCTTTCCTCATTGCCTGTGGTCCCATTAACAGTTGAATTGCACAGCACTAATGAAGATATAGTTGTATGCTGTGCTTTCTGCATAATGTGCAGTTTGTCACTTAGGCAGGATCCTGCTATGTTTCTGTTTCTTTTTTTTTCTTTTTTTTCTTTTTTGCTAGTGTTCTGTGGTAGATCACTGAGAAAAATGAGCCAGTTACTATCCTCCCAAACTCTTAGCTAAAAATTTAACTTCTTTTTTTAACCTCTCAACTCCTTCCCTGAGGGGAGACAGTAAGGGAGGTAGCTCAGCTGTTTGTTGTCTCAATTACATCAGATATTTCTGTAGTTAATTATAAACATTTACATTATTCTAGGGAAACCTCTCTGGATTTGCATTTCCTTTATACTTAGTTCAAACTATGTTCTGATTTATTTACTTGCTAAGGAAAAGAAAAGGACTCTTACCGTTCTTAATTTTTTTGGAGGATCAGTTGGGTAGAGAAGCAGAGAAGAGAGTTTGTCTGTTTGACTTTTACATTACCCCTAACTAGCAATGACTTTAAATCTGCTTTAAACATATAGATAATTTTACAATGTATTAATATATGATTGGATATATTGAATGGAATGAGAAATTACCTGACAGCAAAGCGATCATGTTTCTTTTAACTGCATAATTAAAAAAATACAAATGACTTGAATGTGAGTTATTCATATATGTACCCCTTTTGCATAAGAATATAAAAACAATGTCCCTCAAATTTCACTGGAAGCAAAGTTAGATATTGTACTCCTAGAGACTTCAGAGGAAGGCAAGTAAAAACTTTTTATGTTTGTTTTTTTTAATCAAAAATTCACATAAAGGGGAATAAAAAGATGTTCCCTTCTGAAAATGGTGTGCAAATAGCAATATAGTTTTCTGTAAAAAGAACTTATAGAGGGATTTGCATTTTTAGAAAAATAATCAAGGAAATTTACATATCAGACAAATAAAAAGAAGATTATTGTATTAAAATTGCTTCTTGAGCAATTTGCGTCATTAGAAAATAATACACAGAAAACCTTTGTATGATAAACTTGAAGACATTGTGAGCATATGTTGCTATGAATTTTTCTGTGAGTTTCAAAAATTCAGTAGGAAATATAAAGGCAAACTAAATACTGTAGTACTGTTACAGATAATAAAGCAATTTTTAAAGCTATTTGGCATCCATACTGACTGAAGCTATTTTTTTTTTTTTTTTTAGAAAAAAAGCACTGGTTATAAGTAGAATTACTCCCCATCCCGTCATACATTTGAATACTGATTTTAAAAATTTGAATAGGCAAAATAATCAGACAAAATCAAATGATACCCTCCAGACTTAAGAAATATTAATGCCTGTTGAACAGACTGCAATAAAGTAAGAGATTGTAAAAATACTAATAATCAAGTTGACTGTGGGGAGTGACAAATTACGAGCAGTAATTCAGCCAGCACACCATTGAGTACAAGTGTGATAGCATCTGGAATGCCTGTGCAAGTCCTAATTCCAGCATTGTGTGCTAAATTTTCAAAATACACACATGCTCTTGAAATTCATAATGCATTTTCTTGTTTTGGGGGATTCTGATAAGGCAGAGTTCAGATTATATGGAAGCTGGTGAATACTTTCAATCAAATGCTCTTATGGGCCCCATATAGATCAAGACATTTATAGATCTAGATATCTAGACAGAAATAGACATTTGTATGCCTGAAGGTGTTGGGGGCAAGACATGTACATATGCTCTTATTGCATCTAACTATTACTCTTTGCCTAAATATGACTAACATCAAAGCCCTTAAGTCCTTTAAAAGTAACCCCTTGCCCAGGAAGATGTCCTCTCAGTTCTATAGGGAATACACCCAGGTCAATGAATATAGGATTGCAGCCTGTATATAAAGACATCTATGTAAAAAAACAGAAAAAAAAATGGAGGGGGTTCTGAGATGGTAAGAATTGTATTTTGAAGGGCTTATAAAGATGTTAGCATTAACATTCAAAGCACTTCATTTCCTTTTTAGAGCTGAACCACTAATTACTTTGTTTTCTGTCTTACAGCGGGAACAACATACATATTTAGCAAAGGTGGTGGACAGATTACATATACCTGGCCTCCCAATGATCGGCCCAGCACCCGAGCAGATAGACTGGCCATAGGGTTTAGCACAGTTCAAAAAGAAGCCATCTTGGTGCGTGTGGATAGTTCGACTGGGCTTGGTGATTATTTAGAGCTGCACATTGTAAGTATCGTCAGCAAAATGTAATGCTATTATTTGTCTGAAAGCTTCGATTTTAGCTTTTGCAATGTCCTTTTCTGAAATTGATCTCCTACCATTGAATAACATTTTTCCAAAGCAATTTCAATCTGAGTTTTGGAAGAGATGTTGTCATTAGCCTTGTTGGTTAATAGCAAAATACAAGAGTTTAAAGCATTTTGAACGGGCTGACTTCAGTATAATTTTAAAAGGCTGCAGATTTGGTTATGAATTGCTTTCATAAAATAGGATTCTCTTTGATATATTGCAGTTATCTGTGAGATATGAAGCTACAGTATATATTAAATTGTGAGCATGGTACATAATTATGATTCTGACCTCCTGGGACCAATGTAATCACTTTTTATCATTTTGTGTGCTAAGTGTACACTAAAAATTCCACAACTATAGCATATGACTCCAAATCTAATATGGAAACAATAGGGGTAACTTTTTAATTATTATTTTGAGTTGCTTTTTAATTAATAACATAAAAGTGAAAGAAATATGACAAAAAATAGGCTAGTATAAAAAATTATTCCAGCAGTAAAAAATTACAATTTTACATATACTTATCCAATGTATAATAATATTATTATATATTATTCTAATCCATATGTTTCTCTTCTATAATTAACATATTTTAACCTACAGTATTATGTTTTAAATGAGATCCATAGTTCATTATACTTATCCAAACAAAGTCTATGTCTATAGGCAATCAGCTCTTAGGGGCAAGTGTAATCAGTTAACAATATGGGTTAACTTAAATATTATAGAGAGAGACAGTTTGGTATAGTTGTTAAGGCATTATGAATTCTAATTCTTAGACACAAAGCCAATTGGGTGGCCTTGGGCTAGTCATTTTCTCTCAGTCCTAGGAAGGAGGCAATGGCAAAACACTTCTGAAAAACCTTGCCAAGAGGAGTGCAGGGACTTGTCCAGGCATTTCCCAAGAATTGGACACAATTGAATGGAAGAAAAAGAAGCAAACTTCTAATATACAGTTGTTGAGGCTTCTCTGCAAGTGTAATGTATCCTGTGGAAACCAGATACCATGATTAGAAATCCTAGTCGTCATGTTTCCTGAATGCATATATATGCCCAGGATGATTGAAAGACTTCTCTGCTTTCCACATTATGTTTAAAAAAGAATGTGGAGAAACTTGTGTCCTGAATATTGTGGTTTTTGCAATGTCTGGGCCATAAAGAGTTAAGATCGATTTCATTTTGAATTAAATTGGAGTTTATTTATTTTATTTATTTTATTAATAAAATTTATATGCCGCCCAATCCCTAGGGACTCAGGGCGGCGTACAAAATTAAAACAATAAATATAATGATAAAACAATAAAATAAGTGCATTCATACAGTGTGTCCAGTCGTATCCTGCCCCCCCCCCCAGGGACATCAACCCCAGGCCTGCCGGAACAGGAGAGTTTTAATGGCTTTCTTAAAGGCCGGCAAGGTGGGAATAGTTCGAATCTCGGGGGGAAGTTGATTCCACCAGGTCGGAGCCACCACAGAAAAGGCCCTTCCCCGAGGGCCTGCCAGCTGACATTGTCTGGCCGACGGGACCTGAAGGAGGCCCAATCTGTGGGACTTCATCGGTCTCTGGGAACTATGCGGCAGTATGCGGTCCTGTAAGTAACCTGGTCCTAAGCCATGAAGGGCTTTAAAGGTGATAACCAACACCTTGAATTGCGTCCAGAGACCCACAGGAAGCCAGTGCAGCTCACGGAGGATAGGTGACACGTGGGTGTACCTTGGTGCACCCACAATCGCTCTCGCAGCTGCATTCTGAACCAACTGCAGCCTCCGAACGCTCTTCAGAGCACATTACAGTAATCCAGTCTTGAGGTGACAAGGGCATGAGTGACCGTGAGTAGAGCCTCCCAGTCCAAATAAGGCCGCAACTGGTGCACCAGGCGAACCTGGGCAAAGGTCCCCCTGGCCACAGCCGATAGATGTTGTTCCAAATTTAGCTGTGAGTCCAGGAGGACACCCAAGTTGCGTGCCTGCACTGAGGGAGGTAAATTTACCCCCCCAGGGCTAATGATGGACCATCAGGATGACCCTTGGGGGGCAAGACCCAGAGCCATTCAGTCTTGTCAGGGTTGAGTCTAAGCCTGTTCACCCCTATCCAGACCCGCACATCTTCCAGGCACTGGCACATCACATCGACTGCTTCACTGAAAGGACACGGGGTGGAGATATACAATTGGGTATCATCCGCATACTGATGATACCTCACCCCGTGTCGCCGAATGATCTCGCCCAGCGGTTTCATGTAGATGTTAAAAAGGAGGGGGGACAGGACCGAGCCCTGAGGTACCCCATAATCGAGGCACCTAGGGGTCGATCTCTGTCCGCCCACCAACACCGACTGCGACCTGTCAGAGAGGTAGGAGGAGAACCACCGCAATACGGTGCCGCCCACCCCCACCTCTCCGAGACGACGCAGAAGGATACCATGATCGATGGTATCGAAAGCCGCTGAGAGGTCAAGAAGCACCAGGATAGAGGAATGATTCCTATCCCGGGCTCGCCAGAGGTCATCGGTCAGTGCGACCAAAGCAGTCTCAGTGCAGTAGCCGGGCCTGAAACCAGATTGAAAAGGGTCCAGATAATTCGTTTCATCCAAGGATCGCAAGAGTTGGGACGCCACCACCTTCTCTACAACCGTCCCCACAAAGGGGAGGTTAGAGACAGGACGAAAGTTCTTCAAAACAGCCGGGTCCAGGGAAGGCTTCTTGAGGAGGGGCCTCACCACCGCTTCCTTCAAAGGTTGCGGGAAAGACCCCTCCATCAAGGAGGCATTGATTATTGCCTGGAGCCAGCCTCATGTCACCTCCCTACTGGCAGAAACCAGCCAGGAGGGGCACGGGTCCAATAAGCGGCATTCATTGCCCTCACGGCCTTGTCCACTTCATCAGGGGTCACAGGCTCAAACTCGCTCCAGATAACATGACTAAGACCAGCCCCCGGCATCTTGGCTGGCACTGCCCAGTCGGAGTCCAGGTCTCTCTGAATCTGAGTGATTTTGTCCGAAAGAAACTGAACAAACTCCTCAGCTCTCCCCTGCAAGGGTTCCTCCGCCTCCTCCACTTTAAGAAGGGAGCGGGTCACCCTAAACAAGGCAGCCAGGCGAGATTCTGCGGACGCAATAAGTGCGGAAAAGTGAACACGCTTTGCCACCCTTATCGCCACTAAATAAGTCCTAAGATAGGCTCTTAATAGTGATCGGTCAGATTCAGAGTTACTGGCCCTCCAACGTCGCTCTAGACGTCTCTTGTGGTGCTTCATCTCCCGGAGCTCCTCAGTAAACCAAGGCGCCCTCCGGGGACCACTACCACAGAGAGGTCGCAAAGGCGCAATTCGATCCAGGGCCCCGGACGCTGCCTCATTCCAGGCCGCAACCAGGGACCCGGACGAGTTGTGGACAAGGGAGTCAGGTATTTCCTCCTGGAACCGATCTGGGTCCATTAGGCGCCTGGGGCGGAACCACCTAATCGGCTCCACCTCCCTGCGGTGGGGGAGTGATGCTCTGAAATCCAGCCTCAGTAGGAAATGATCTGTCTGTAGGGTCCAAAGCAGATGCATGGGCTAGGAGGAATGCACAAATTTGAATAAACAAACTACCCATTGTTAGAACTGTCCACATCCATGGCCTCAACTATAGTAATAGATTGCAGCTCAGTGGTATGAATGTCAGGAAAAGATGTATTAGTATTAGAAAATTTGCAAAAGAATCTGTCAGAGGAATTGTAATGGTCCTATTTGGTTGGATATGTTGTTAATCCTGACAAGAGCTGACTGATCCTATCATTACTGTGAGGTGATAAATTTTGAGTAGAAAACAGTTGGCATCCTGAAAGGTCTACTAGGGTAATTTCAAGTTGCCTTAGAGCAAACAAGTAGCAATCAGCATGGAAAGTGTCTAGATTTTTATGGCATAATAAATAAATGATCAGTTGAGATAAACTTAAGTAGGGCAACTGAGCATTTTAGCAGTTTAGATTAATTTCAGTTTTGTTAATATATTAAGTTTGAGTCAGATTTAACAACCTTGCTGCTTCATTGAAGAAGAAATAACTCCTCTGGCAAGAAATTAGTTATTGATCTATTAGCAATATACACGCTGTCACCTCGGAAAATGTTCAGTGATGATTATTTCTAAATCACATCATCCCATCTAGCTAAGTTATGTATGATCTGCTCTTTTATATTCCAAATGTTTCCCTATTAGTACTTTATCTTATTTACCTATTTATTTTCAATATTGTAATGCTGTCAGTATTGGCATTGCATTATATTTGTTCAGCAACCTTAAGGAACAGCAACTTATCTCTTAAATCATTTTTATGCTACCTTTTAGGAACAGATTTTACAAACATTTTATTTTTAAAAAAAAAATTAATGTGATGCAGTTTTTAAAGCCAAGCCAAGTCAACAAAAGAGTTGTACAACATTACCAATACTTAGTAATAATGACGGCAAAACAAAAAGAATGCAAACTCTAAAAACAAAATATTCTAAAAGCAAGACAAAGAATTATCTTGAATCGTGAAAGCTATTCCTTAGAACTATGTCTTTTTTATAGTTTGTTGCAGAGTCAGGCAGATATTCAGACTGTATTTGGCATTTTTATCCACCTATCGAGTCCTTCCGAAAGACCTGGGATAGGCCAATGTTGTTGTTGTTCTTGTTGTTATTATAGTTAGCTTCATACTCAGTCAGATGTTTAGACTGGATTTGGTGTTCTCCACCTATCAAATACTTTCCAAGGACCTGGAATAGGCAGATGTTGTTTTTTAATAATATAAGAGGTAATGTTGCAGGATGCGAACTGTTCCAAATAAAGCTGCCTTTAACAATTGACTGATGGTGATTTTGTCAGTGCTGATGGTGTTCCAGATGTTTGGGAATTACACCCAAGGCACCTATTATTGTTGGTACTACCTTTGCTTTCTTTTTGCCACAATCGTTCTATTTCCAAGTCTTTATATTTTGTGATTTTCTCC